AACCCTTTAATTTATGAACCCACATATCATGGTAACACCTAGCAAGTAGCATGAATCTAGTATTAAGTGAATAGCGAGTAAACCTATTCCGATTACAACTCCATACATGTAAAATCCTTTCGACATCTAATTTCCCGATTAAGTCTTGGGTATGATTTTGTCGAAACCCAAATTGACTTAATAACTATGATTCTATTTCATGTTTATTAACCCGGTTATGAATCACTATTCATCTCTGCCTTGGCCAAGGACTTTGGATTAATAACTATGAAACACATAGGAAATTCACTTATCTTCATAAGTGTCGAATCCTTTATTGGCCACTAACAAACTTCCATACATATTAACATAATACCCAACTTATCCCTTTAAACGATAGTGCTAGCTACCAAAAAGATAAATCAAAGTAAAATGTAATATGCACAAAGTTATCATTGTGCCTCAAGTCTTAGGATTAGTCATGTACTATTGTAACATGAAAATTCTTATTCGACTGAATAAATTCTTCATTAAGAATTTGCATACGGTCATGTTCAGTGAACTTGTTCTCTAACAAGCACCCACATAAATGTACTTACGTCTTACGCTAATGTTGATGGAATGCAACATTCTTGTCCAACAAGCATACAAACTATGTGCAAGTCTTTTATGGATTATTCGATATCCCATCTCGAAACATCCATCGACTTGGAACTGTATTTAAGATCACGGCTTTCAAGGTATGTTCCATGATTACCATCTCTATGCGCAACCATACCTTATAACCATAAGTGGTCTAGGGATTTCATCTTAAGTGCAATTATAAGATAAATGTTTTCTCTTAAGATAAAGAAATGCCTTATTCATAATATAATTCCAATAGACTGTATTTACAAGTAGAATACGTCCAATTAGATTGGAACGCCGGGTACCCTACTCTAACAGATATATGGATTACAAAAGACCAAAGGAAGCAAGCTTATCACAGAGTTCATTGTTCCATTACTTTAATGCTTGTTTAAGCCCATATAAACTTTTTATGAGTCTGCATACATGCTCTTCCTGTGCTTTAGCATAACCCAAAGGTGGTTTTATGTATACCTCATTTGCCAAGTGTCCATGCAAAAAAGCATTGTTCATATCCAATTGATATAACTCCCACTTCCTTTGTATAGCCATTGCAATGAAGAGTCTTACTGTCACAAGTTGTGCCACAGGAGAAAATATATCAAAATAGCCCACACCTTCCACCTGGTTGTAACCCTTAGCCACCAACCTGGCCTTGAATCTTTCTATGATCTCATCTGCCTTTTTTTTAATTTTATAACCCCATTTGGATCCTATGGCCTTCTTTCCCTCTGGTAAGTTAGTTAACTCCTATGTATGATTGTGATCTAATGCATTTAACTCCTGTTGCATGTCCACCAGCCATGCAGTGTGCTTATTTGCCTGATAATAGTGGGTTGGTTCCTTGTCCATGTACACTTGAGTCATAAAAACTTCATAATTCTGTTGTGATGATGAATCAAATTGTGAAATGTTTTCACAAACATAACCCTCTGCCACTTTGGTTTGTGTCTAATCCTTTTACTTCTCCTTAAGCCCCCATCATCATGTTCTGAAGGTTGTACTACTGAAGGCTCCTCATTAACAGATTCAATCAAAGGCTCATCTCCTCTTGAAAAGAAATACAGAGACTATATTTCATGGTTGTTGTAGAAGTAGAGAAAGGAAACTCTTCCTCTAAGAAGATAACATCTCTGGCCACAAGGAGTCTTAGTTTCCAAGTTAAAAAGTTGGTATCCCTTCTTTCCTGCTGCATACCCCAAAAATACACATTTTTCACCCCTTGCCTCAAACTTAGTTTTATGTGGAACGACATTAGCAGCATATGCTAAACAACCAAAGGATTTTAGTCTCTTATAATCTGGTGTTGTTCCATTCAATTTTTCAAAAGGAGTCTCCCAATTCAACACAACACTAGGAATTCTATTGATAATGTAAGTTGCTGTCAGAACAGAAAATGGCCAAAACTTCATAGGCGTATTTCCTTGAAACATCAAAGCTCTTCCCATTTATAGCAAATGCCTATGTTTTCTCTCCACTACTCCATTTTGTTGTGGAGTATAAACACAAGTTGTTTCATGTAGAATTCCTTTGTTTTTGATAAACTCCAATAAGGACTTCTCAAAAAACTCACTACCATTATCTAACCTTATCCTCTTAACTTTACAACTGTATTGTGTATCAATCATTTTAATAAAATTTGCCACCAATTTGCTAGCCTGTAATTTATTTTGCATAAGAAAGACCCATGTCCCTCTACTGAAATCATCCACCAAGGTAAGAAAGTAAGGAGTACTCACAATGGCTTCCTCTCTACAAGGCCCCCACACATCCATGTCCACTAGCTCAAATATAGAACTAGTTTGAATGCTACTGATAGGAAAATAGAGTCTATGTTGTTTTTTCCCTAAAGCATACATCACAGGAATGCAGCAAACTTTCATTGAAAGATGTACAATCCTTCTTCAAGAAATTCAGATGTTTTATGGCGCCAAAAGAAGCATGACCTAAACACTTATGCCAAGTTTGAAAAGATAAATTGCAGCTAAAAGGTGTTTCAGGTTTACCCTTCCATATGTAGAGGTGTCCAAGCTGATCCTCATATCCTACTATTTCTTCAGTCTGGTAGTCCTGTAGATAACAGCATTTTCCAGTAAACACCCACTTCATTTGGCTGTTTTGACACTGAAAGCAGATTATACTTGAAGTTGGACATATAAAGTACATTATGAAGCACAATATTCTTATTGATCACAACATCCCCTTCTATAGTAACATTTTTAAGAGAGCCATCAGGCAGACATATAGAAATTGGTTTGTCTATGTATGTCAGATTTTTCATGAGTTATTTGTTAACACAGATGTGTCTGCTTGCTTCTGTATCAATAATCCACTTGTCCTCAGATTTATTTCCCAGAACTATGAGAGCATAATATGGATCCTCAGTTCTATTCTCACCCGCAAAGCTCACAAATTGAGCATAGTCCACTTTGTTTTCTGACTCCTCTTTTCACTTCACATACTAAGTTAGCTCCTGTAATTGCTTAATGACTGCAGATAAATCATTCTCTTTGAATTCCTCTTTGCTGCCCCCTTTGAACCTTTGTTGTTCTTCTCCATAGCATACTTCAGCATTATTTGCATACGATTTCCCTTGCTTTTCTTTGTACTCTTTATACCAATCAGGCACTCCATGAACTTTGAAAGAAGTTGAGATGTTATGTCCATTCAAGCCACACTTCTCACATACCAGCCTAGCCTTTCTTCCTTTGTCATTATGTTATATCCTCTTCCCTTTGCCATATTCCACTGTCCACCAGAATTGAAAGACCTTCCTCCATTATTTCCTTTATTCTGCCCACCTTGACCTCTTCCCGATCTTGCCATCATAGCTACATTGTCTATCTTTTCTTCATAAATGTCTTGAACACTTCTTTGTCTTTCAACTGTTAAGGCCATTGAGTAAGCCTTATTCACATTTGGCAGAGGTTCTAACAACATTATCTGATTTTTCAAGCCATCATAACTGTCATTAAGCCCCATCAGAAACTGTATAAGCTTAGTCTCTGATTCATGTTATTCTGCCAACTTTCCTTTCTCACAGCCACAGGATTGAACAGGAACTACACACATATTATAATAAATATATATCATACTTTAATAATAATAAATACTAGGAACTTAATTAATTTATAAATAAATAAATAATTTCTTTTACTTTATTTTGCTTTCCTATTAAAAATATTTTTTATAAAATACTTACATTTGCCGGACGATATCATACCAATATTTTACAATCACATTAAAACACATAAAACGGAGTGTAGAATTGCTTTAAAGAAACATGCTCCCCGAAATTCTCCAACGAGCACTATGCATTTCTCCTCAGATAAGAGGACTCCAAGTATTAAAACTGCACTATATTATGCAATCACCTAATTAGAAACTCGATTACAATAATCCTTTAATTTTGTTAATCATGGACAGAATAAAAAAGAAATATATATGAAGTTTTTCTTTGCTCTGTTGTCGGCGTCGTGTGTGAGTGTATGCCTTACAAACATGTACTATGCATAAAAAAAAAAGACATAACAAATCAAGAGGACTATTTATTACCGTTCATAAAGTGACTCGACAATACTAAAACCAAAGTCAAATTTTTGTTATGACAAAACTGCAAAAGTAATCACCCCTGCGTACATAATTGCAAAGTGCGCTGAGTTTAAGTGACAATTTCGCACGTTTCGGAATTTTACTTGACGAAAAAACATGTTTCGTAATTTAGTTTAAATAAAAAATATTATTATTCTAAATCAATAATTTTAGGTTCGAATATTCCAAAAATATTGAAAAACTAATAATAGTTTAATATAACTCTTAAGTTGTATTAGAACTTTCAATAATGATATTGATTGACTAATATAAACTTGATTTTTTTTTAAAGTTCTCAATCGACTCATTAATTTTCATAAATATATATATTTAATCGACTCATTAAAAATACATTTATTTAATTTTAAACAATTGTTGTTGTTATTATTTACTTTTTAAAAATAATTTTTTTATCAAGTATCCGTGTAGTACACGAGTATTGTACTAGTTTATTTACAAAACAAAACTCATAAAGGAAAAGAATAAAACAAGTTCGTTTAGAGTTCCGTAAAAAATTAATTTGGACATTTTTATCATAAACCACAATGTTTTATTTTTATTTAAGATTCACACATACTATATTCTTCTTCGTTTACATTGGACATGTAAAACATCCTTATTACAACATTTATTTTTTTAGTTAAAAGTTAAAACTCAAAAAGAGGAATGTGGAATAATT